AGAGAGAGAGAGAGAGAGAGAGAGAGAGAGAGAGAGAGAGAGAGAGAACGAGAGAACATGCGGCTCTCTTTATATTCTTTAATACCCAGTCTCACTGAACTTCCTGTTGTGTCTACTCTAAATCCTTTTTGCAAGATCCTTCTAGCCCAGTGTCTCAGCTGGCATAAAGTTAAAGGTAGCAATGATATTCCCTCTTGGTCTCTCCAGGTCTAGGAAAGTGAGGTGATGGAATGTTGAGGCCCAAGATAATAGAACTCAGCATGGGATCTATGCTCTTGACAGTCACTTGCCTCTGGGTTCTGACCTGATTGGTGGGGGACAGATCTCCTCAAAATCTACAGATTGTGTCCTATCTACAGAAAGGGTGGGGGAAACGGAGGAAAGGACAGCCCACCCCCCTTTCGGGACTCCCAGGATGGGCATGGGAGAATGGGAAATGAGAGTCATTGCTGGATGCCAAGAAGCACAGGACTAAAGGAGCAGGCTTCCCTAAAGGGGAGCTTTCACCCCATCCCCTCAGGGTGTTCCCACACTCAATTTCAATATTGCATACCAGCTCTTGAATAAGTTTCTTCACATCCATCTTGAAAAGTCACTCGACTACCCCATCTCATACTGAAACCAAGCAAAGGTGGGACCAGCTCCCCACCAGATGGGAATCTTCTCTGCTCTCCTCTCACTGGGTAGAAAGGTTGAATCTGAGCCCAGTGAAGACTGTAGAGAGAGAGCATTGCTCAGCTTCCAGGTGACTCAGTGCTGCCACCACACAGTGCCCCAAACTCTGTCACTGCTCCCTAACTACAGCAGACTGCCTAGCCCCCCCACCCCCCATCTTTTACTTCCAGAATGTTCCCAACAAACAAGGGTCTCCAAGAAAAGGCAACGAAGAAACAAGATGCTATGGGGATGCTATGGAAAGCCTGACTTTATGACCAGGAGGGATTGGGGACAGAATTGAATGCCAGAGGATGGTGACATGAGCAGCCAGGGCTGTGAAGGCAGGAGGTTCCAAGTAGGGTCTAGATCCATCTTAGAAGGAACAGATGAAAGGCAGGCGACTTTTGCATGAAGCTCTTCGCCAATGGCCCCCTGCAGCAGAGAACACAGTGATATAAACTGGCTGGGGTCTGCACTGAGTTCCACCCCACCCTTGTCAGATACCACCCTATCCCCTTCCTTGGCTACCATCAGCTTCAGAGGATGGAACAGACTTTATGACAATAACTTGCTATACCATAGCAGGTAGGTAGGAAACTAGGCTGAAATGTGAATCATGGCACCTTTCCTCCAGGATGCATTGTTTCTGCCACTACACTAAAGTGCCTCACATGTGTCACAAATGCTGTTCCCCACATCTGTAGCTGAAGACGTCTTAGCTGTCACTTATTCCTACATCCACACCTTCTATTCATATCTGCTGGTCTGTTATTGATCACGTAAGTCATTCAAGTTTGTCAACCACGTATCACAGGAGGTAAAGGATTCCCAGCTACCTCCTCTACAAGGCATGCCCTGAGAAGTTCTCAGACCTCAGCCCTCCCCACAGACCAAGTCTGAATTCTCCATGTGGAGAGGGTAGGTTTGAAGAGGTGTGTCCAGGCAGCTGAAAGGAACAGCTGCAAAACTTCTACTCTATCAGTGCATCTCCTTGGCTAGAGCCTATTCCTCTCACCTTTGTTGCACAGAGTCACACAGTGTCCTCTCCCATTCCCAGGCTGCCCTGGGGCCCAGTATCCAAAATCCCAGCCGCTCCCATCAGTCCAGCAAAACTTCTTCCAGAAGAACTAGAGAAGAAAGAAAGTGGATCAGAGAACCAAAAAAGGCAGGAAGATCCAAGCCACTGCTGACTCCTCTCACTGCCTGCCGGGTGTGAAGCTGCATGCATGCTCTCACACCCATCCCTCAGTGTTTGCAGGGGGTGTGCTGGAAAATAACCGATGCTCCTGGACACCGTATAGGGCACACTTCCCCAGCTGTACTGTGGGGATCTTATTAACAAGCAGGCTCAGATACAGGAGATCAGGCATGGAGTCCATGATTCTACATCTCTAACAAGCTACCAGTTGATGCTGATGGTGCTGGCTCATTTATCCATAATCTTAGGCCTACTCCTAAGGAGGTAGACCCCCATTTTACAGCTGAAGTAAAGCTAAGAAAGCTCCTCAGCTAGTAAACAACTGAGGTGAGCCCTGAGCCAGTCTCTTGGAATCTGTCTCCTCACTTCAGTTTTATATGACCACATGAAAAACCAGCTCTGAGGACTGGGGAACCTCTGGCACCCACATTAAACATCCAGGCATGTTGGTTCACACTTGTAGTAGCAGTGTTGGAAAAGAAAAGATAAAGAGATTTCTTGGGGTTCATGATCTGGCAGCCTACCTGATCAGAGAGCACCAGGTCTCAAAAAATAAGTTAACCAGCTTCTGAGGAATGACACCTGAGATTGGCCTATGGTCCTCACATTCAGGTACACATAGAAAACACACACACATGCACATACAAACACACACAAACACACACCAAATCTAGGGAAGAGTAAGAGGGAAGTAAAAAGGACTCTTTATTGTAACACGCTTTAATTCTGATCTGAAGTGTCTCTCTAAGACTATGTGCTAGCGTCTGTGTCCCCCAACTCATGGTAGAATTGGGAAGTGATAGAACTTTTAAGAGGCAGACCCTACTTGGAGAAAGTTAGGTCATTTGGGCCATGCTCTTGAAGAGGATACTAGGGCCCTGAATCGTTCCCTTCTTCTTTGCTTCCCTGCACCACAGGTGAATAATCAGTCCTCTTCATCCACACACTCCCACTATGACATACTGCGTGTCCAGTCCAAACCGACATCAAGTGAGTGTGAACTGAAGCTTCTGAAACTATATGTCAAAATAAGTCGTTCTTCATTATAAGTTGATTCCCTCAGGCATTTTGTCACAGAGACAGCTAACTAAGTGCTAACAATTGCCAATGTTATTGGTGTAAATTTACCATGGCTAATTTTGAGCCACAAGCCTGAAGTTTTTGAACATGGAGTTAGTGAAAGATATGAGTAACCAATTCTCCCAAGACAATACAGGCCATCTCCATCATCCTATTTGCCTATCATTTAAAAGACACCTTGACTACTGAGCCAACAAATGATCCCTCAAGATAATCAAAACTTCCTGTACTTAGTTGAGTCCTAACTTACCCAGCCCCTGAGGATGCCTCCAATCCAGACGATGGACTGGTTGATCTTCCTGGCCAAGCTCTGGATTTGGGAGTTGAAACTGTAGCCGTGGATGGAAGCAAGGTTGCCTTGATAGCATCTCCTGCACAGTCTCTGCAGAGAGAAGAGTTAGGGTAGAGAATTCACTCTCTTTTGCCTCAAGATCCTGACTCTCCAAGAAATATCCCTACAACTACTCATAGACTCAATATAAAGGATTCACTTGCTTCCCTCAAGCCTATATTTTGCTTCTTTATCAGTGGTCAGGACATCCATGCAGGAAGTAGTAATCCTCCTTATAACTATAGCCACCATGTACAGACTGCTTAGCATGATGATTCAAATGCAATGTCTCTTTTGACCTTTACCACAAAAAAACAATGGTACCATACAGTGAGTCCTCCCTATGTATGGATATCTTGCCACCTAACTCAACACAGCCATACATTGGAAATATCTACTGTGTGTTTGTATGTGAGGTTGTGGGAGTGGTGTGTGCATGGGAGTGTGCTGCTGCACACATGCAAATGTCAGAGTAGGACTTCGGATGGGGTGTCCTCTACCATTCTTTCCCTTACAGTCTTAAGACAGGGTCTCTCATTGAACCAGAAGCTTGTTCCTTGAGATAGGCTGCCTGGCTAGTGAACTCTCAGGATCTACCTGTCTCTGCTCTCAGTGCTGAGGTCACAGGCATGCACTATCACAGTCAGATTTTTCCATGGGCCTGGAGATTTGAACTCAAGTCCTCATGCTTGCAGACCAAGCTCACTTACCACATAGCCATCTCCCCTGAAAATATATTTCTTTAGTTATGATTACTCTGAATAATACTCATTCCTTTGACATTAGTCCCCAAATAATAAAGTATAAAAACGATTCTCAAGACATTTACACTGCAGTAGGTATTATAAATAATCTTAAGATGGTTTAATGACTAGAAGAGGAGGTAGTGATATAGTTAGTGAATAGTTAAATGAGTTTGATTCCAGGTCCCACATGGAGGAAGGAGAGGACAAACTCCTGAAAGGTGTCTTCTGACCTACATGTGTATGTCAAGGTGCTTGCATCCCTACACAAACATACAATAAATAAATAAGCATAAAAAAATTAAAAATACTATGTCATTTATACATAAGAACTTTGAACATAGATATTGGTGTCCACTGTGGGGGTTCTACCAAAATCCCATAGAGAGTAAGGGACAACTACGTGTCTTCATTTGGAGGAGCCTGATCGCTGGAAGATGAACAGAGTTGCCCAGAAGACAGTCAATAGTCAATGAAAGAAGATGATATTAATACAGGGGTTCATTTTCTTTCCCGTTTTAGAGATAAGATAACTCTTTTAAAATTCATTTCAGTGCAGTTGTCAAATCCTGAGATTTTCTAGTTAGCATACACATGTGCACATGTGCATGCACGTGCACACACACACACACACACACACAAGACCTACAGTGGGCCACACAGAAGTATTGACAGAGGTGCAAATGGGTAGGTCTGTCATTTTGAATATTTCCTCTTACAGGAGTTAATTTTTAATGATTTATATGGTTTTAATGTCACATTTTATTTATTGTGAAGTTCTCATACACACATAGAATGTATTTCAATCATCCATCGCTCCACTCCCTTCTCTAGATCCTCCTGAATCACACACACACATCAACTTCCCGATTTCATATCCTCTTTTTAGCAAATATGTTGCCCACAAAGACTGATTAATGCTCCTTAAACAAGTATGAGCATAGTCAGCCTACCAGTGGCCACACCCCTTCCAGCAGCCACCAATGATGAGGACTTGTGTGTACCCCTCCACATCCATGCTGGAATACTGACTAGCTTGGTCTTGTGCAAGAAATCACAGTCATTGTGGGTTTGTGAGTGCAGCACTTCTGTCATGTCCGGAAGATACTACTTCACCCTAATTCCCACCCCAGTCTTTGGCTCTTGCACTTGTTCCACCACCTCTTCCAGAAAACACAAGTGTCTCTATCACCAGTGTTTTTACACAGATCAGTGGCTCTAAAGGTACTGTTCTCAGACCAAGAAGATCTCTATTCCCAGGTCTTTGCTACAAATGCCAATCCTCATAACAACGCCCCCCCCCCCCCCCCCCCCCTCTTAATTCAAAGATTGTGAAGGTGGAGCTGCAAACTCTATATCTTAAGAAGACCTCCAGGCAATTCTGCAGCTTTGAGAAACACTGGTCTAAATGAATAGAGAACAGAAGTTTTAATCCAGTCCCTTTCTCTCCCCTTGACCTTTTCACCATGTCTTCCTGTCTCTTACCTGAGCCTTATAAAATGTCTTGGGAGTCCTCACCAGCACATAGTGGCAGCTCTTGCACCCAGGTGTTCCATGCAAATAAGCTGTGTCCTCTTCCTTGGGGCATGCTGAGTCCTCACCTAAGGCATGTGGATCTGACTTCATTGCCTCCTCATCCTCAAAGATGTCTCGATGTTCAGAACCCTCAGTCTCTTCTCCCTCTGTCTGCATTGTCTCTTGAGTCAGAATCAACTCTCTCCCCTGCTCCCCAGAACCATCTGCTTTCTGCTGCAGGTCTTCCTCTCTCTTGGGAGTCTCCAGGTGAGGGTGAGCAGTCTCTAGGGAGAAGAGGTAACCTGCCATCACCTGAGAGGCTCTCTTCCTCCAGCACCTCAGACAGCTCCAACAGTCCTCTTGAGCTTTCTTGGGTACCAATTAGGGGCCACCCAATAGGAAGGAACTCCTCTAGGTTGGGTAAGAAGAGATGTTTTAAACCAGATTCATAGGTAAACAACAGCTTGAACTCTGGCTGACACCACAGGTATGTGTACGGGTGAGAAGACCTTGTGTGAGAAGCCTCAATCATCACTGGCCCTTCATCTTAATATATATGTCTTTTGTTTTCTTTCCTTCTGATAAAGCCATGTCTGAGCCTGAAAGTTATCTAACCAGAGATGTGTGAGCAACCCAAAAAGAACACACTGTAACCCTGGCTCTCTGATAACAACAACAATGACCAAGAGAGTGAGATAGAGGAAAAAGAAGGAAGATGGGTGTGAAAATAAAAGGGAAAGACTTACCCAGATGAAAAGCAGAAACCATTCCCAGCAGGAGAAGGGACAGGATCAGGGGCTGTGTCATGTCTACTTGATCCTGTAGTAGAGGCAATTCCACCTTCGGCCTCACAGCTGTCCTTTTGCGTCCAACACAGCTTCTGGCACATGGCATGATACTTGTTTAACTACGTGATAAAAGAGGGGGCCAAAGATCTACTACTGTCTCCTCCTCTTCCTCCTCCTCCTAATCCTCCTCCTCTTCCTCCTCCTCTTCTAAAGACAGACCCTAGGCAGGAGCCTGAAACAGGCATCAGGGGTGGCCAGGATAGACAGCTGGGCTGCAAAAGTCTCTTCCTAAGATCTTCCTGGCTGTTCCCTAGTTCACATTATACCCACGTTCTTGACCTACAGTGACAAGTCAACCCCAAGCCAGAGTTGACTTCACTTATGTGGGGAAAATAGAAGCAAAGATGGTAGCTATGGTGATCCTAAAAACAGCACCCCCGCCCCCGCAGCTGCTTGCTTTCTAGTGTCCTCCCATTTTCTCCATGACCCTGGCCTGTGCTGTGTGTGAGCACATCACTCACCTCTTGAGGGTCTATGGCCTCCACTCTCAGGGGGTGTGGCTACTGCCCCACAATCAGCCCCTATTATACTGTGCTTTTGGGGAAGTAGGAAGGGGCCAGGGTGATTGCCCCAGGCCAAGTTTGGGGATAATGGAACTGATAAAAATTGTTTCAGTTTTTTCACCCCAGACGCTGCTCTCTGCTAGCATGGCAGAGCCCTGTTTTTATTGACCTGTGGCCCTAAACGGAAGTCTATATCCATCAGTTTGTTTCAGAGGCATTCGTAACATCAGGCCTATCAACCAGAGGTAATGAGTAGTATTAGTGTTTCTAAAGTGTCCATCCTGAAAGATAGCCCTTAATTCGGAAGCACCCTTCCAAAGTCATTCTAGGATGTGATATGCAGACCCCAGAGAGCAACTAGGAACCATGAAGGGACGGGGGCGAGGGGAGCCTGAGCATCCACATGAAGTGCTTTATAAGCAGCAAACCCCTGATCCCTGAGACTATAGGATTTCCTTGCTTCACAGATGTAAACAATAGGATTCAGAGGAGGAAAGCTCGCCAAGCTTACCTGACGTCCTGCTAGTTTCTATGCCAGCTAAACTAAAGCTAGAGTCATATGAGAGGAAAGAACTTCAATTGGAAAAAAAAAAGTCTCTGTAAGATCAGGCTGTAGGCAAAATTACAGGGCATTTTCTTAAGTAGTGATTGATATGGAGGGTCTAGCCCATTATGGTGGTACCATCCCTAGGCTGGTGGCCCTGGGTTCTATAAGAAAGTTGGCTGAGCAAGCTATGATGAGAAAGCCAGTAAGCAGCACCCCTCTACGGCCTCTGCATCAGCTTCTGTCTCCAGGTCTGTGCCCTGACTGAGTTCTTACCTTAATGGCTTTCAATGATGAACAGTTATATGGAACTGTGGGTGAAATAAGCCATTCCACTTCAAGTTACTTTTGATCATGGTGTTCCATTATAGCAATAAAAACCCTAACTACGATTCATTCTCTCTCTCTCTCTCCCTCCCTCCCTCCCTCCCTCCCTCTCTCCCTCCCTCCCTCCCTCTTCCCTTCCTCTTCCCGGCCTTCTTTCCTCTTCACAAACCAGGCCCTTTTCCGTTCTCATCTTCAATATGCAGTTTCTTCTGTACCATGGATCTGCATTGTTTCTCAACATTTTGCTGTTAATACTTAGGACCACATATTAGTTGTGAGGGCTGCCTTATGCATTATCTAAAGTTTAATAGCACTGTTTGTCTATATCCGCTAGATGTCTGATGTTCACATACACACACGGGGGGTGGGGAGGGGGAGAAACAGAGACAGAGACGATGGCAACCACAGATTTCATAGATTTCATTTTCTAATGATCTTTGGATCATTTAGAGACCACTGGCTTAGACTTTATCACTTCGTCTGACCTCTAGACATACGGCAAGGATGTCAAAGAAGTAGGAACTGAGATGAAAAACCTCACGCTAAATCTTCCAGTCAATCTGTGGACCATCTTGCCCTCCCTTCCTACCTCCCACCAGCCCAGTGACACCACCAGGGTTAGGACTAGAATCAAGCAATGCAATGCTAATCTCAGACCACAAATTTAAGAACCCACTAAAAGTTTCAATATTAAATATAAGTAATATAAGTAATATTTTAATGCAAACTTTCTTAAAATCGAATTGAATGAAAATATATTCACAATGACTAATTTTATTTAAACAACCAAGCTCCAGTTCATCTACTGTTGGCCAAAGAGAAAACAGTGAGTGCATAGCCTTGGCTTTGCCACATCTGCCTGTCAAGTTGAGCTGTGGCTTGTTGGAAGTGAGGTTTGATGCAGTTTGGAGGTGTTCTGTTGGACTGGCACACACCTCCATAAAAGCAGACACAGGTCATCTAGAGACCGAGATACCCTGGATACCTTGTCTTCCTCTGCTCTTCCAAGGGACCTACAATTGAAGAAAAAAAGGAGAGGTCACTTCCTGGCCTGATTGCAGAGTAACGGTCTTGACTCTTATCTCTCCACCCAACAGACCAGGCCACCCACTTATCTACCTGACACTGGGAAGGTTGGTCAATTCCAGTACCCTCAGAACTTGGTCTACAACTTTTAAGTTTGAAATTGCCCCAGTGAGGAAAGGAGAAACACAGATACCCTTGTCAATTTTCTCCTTCACCCTGGGGTCCATACAGCATGTATGGCTGGGTTAAGCCCCAGGGATTGCTGTTCTCGTGAGCCAGCACCACCATAAGCCTTGCGCGCATTGCTTCTCGTTACACATCCCCACAGGTTTAAAAGAGTTGCCTAAAATCCAGTGACAAGTCAGAGACCAGCCTAAGCCCAGGGTTCTATGTTCCTCACCCACTCCATAGAAAATGTCTCATGGATTCTCTCTTATTCTGCCCCACTTATTCATTCATGCATGCATGCATTTATGTGGATCCTGTTTTTCTTGCACTCAAAATCCTGACAAAAGACATTCTAATGCTTCAATAAGCTTGCCACTGTTCACAGGGATTCCTCTCTAATTGAAAGCCGGAAGTAACATTTTTTAAGTTTTGCTCCAGACCAGGCACTATGTTTGTATAGGATTTTTTTTTTACAACCACTACTTTCGTATGTAATTCTAACAAATCATCCTACAAATTGGGTATGGTCATCTTAAGTTTACACATTTACTTTTAAAAAATATAATAGAAGTTAATGACTGTTTCAGTTCTCACAGCTTGAAAGTCCTTGTTCATATTCAAGTGTGTCAGCCTGACAGTTATCCAATGCACAGTGCGTCCAAGACTCAGAACCACTATTTTCATTTATATTCAAATGAGTTTCTTTCTTTCTTTCTTTCTTTCTTTCTTTCTTTCTTTCTTTCTTT